CACACACACACACACACACACACACACACACACACACACACACACACAGAGCCCTGCCATCTGCAGATCCTAAGAGCTGCTTTGATTGGATTAGCCATGAATTAATGAGACAGGCTTGAAGAACAGCTTCTGTTGTGGAAATCTCTCTTATCATATCTTAATTTGCTCTTTTTGTCAATGTGAGGCTGTATGATCCTAACTCATTTTGGTAAAGCCTCAAATGATGTAAAAGTCATTTTAAATAATGGTTAACTAAATAAGTCAATTCAGAAATAGGAGGAACAACCAGACTTAGTGTAGATTTTTGTTTTAAATGTGATCAACAAATAGGATTAGTATGGAACATTTGCACAGTGTTTGTTAAGCAGCTGTAAATGTCACCTTTAATTATTTTATTTTCTCCTCCACAGTAGGAAAAGACATTTCTCTCATCTACCCAGGAAACTCTGGCTTTATCTATTGGAAGTTTTGTTTTTGAATGGCACGAGCATAAAGAGGCCATAAAAACAGATTGTTGTCTCTTTGATGACTTTAACATTCTTTCCTCCTTTGAACATGAAGTACCAACAAACAGAGCCGTTTTTTCTGGTAGTCAGTTTAGTTACAGCCAGTAAGAAGTCTGTTTTTTTTTTTCATGGCTTCAAGACAAAAATAACTCTGCTCCCAGCACCCCCTCCCCCTCCCTCCACGTCTGAAATTATTAGCTTACATCGTATTTATTGTTGTAAGTTTCTACTTAGCGTGAGATAGAGGAATCAGGTGGGGGTGGGGGGTGGGGGGCATTGTTTGGTTTGGGAAGTATTCTGTTGGTTGCATAGCAACAGGCTCCTGGAAACGGGAGTGGACGGTGTTGCCACTAGCAACCGTTGTTGCTCTGCAAACAATGTGGGCCAGTGCAAACACGAGCCAAGACTGTGCGTTCCTGCTTTAAACTGAACATCTGTATGTGTTTTTCTCAAACGGAGCTCTGTTTAGGTGACAGATATTTCATGTCTTCAGTCTCGACAGGGCCGACTGACATTAGCAACAATTTGTGGGGATTTGTGGTTGTTAAAAAGTCTTTGCCTGGTTTTCAGAAACTTGTGAAACTCGGGTACTTCTTAAAAGGTGTTGCAATGTTGTTAAGTGCTCAGCTGGGGTTTGCTGGGTTGTGTATGAAGTTGTGTTTGTGCTGCAGGTGAAAAATCAGGTCCTGACGGCAGACGGTCCTGAGTCTTGGTTTTTGCGGCAGMGTGTTGTGCCTCCTGCTGTGTTCTACCTTTGTGCCTTTCTGAGCGGCTGGTGGGGAATTTGTGTGGCTTTTAACCTTCCCTGAACACGAAGCAGAAAGACTCCTTTAAGCTCTCATTCACTTGCTTTATTTCTCCTCCAACTCAATGATTTGGCACACTTCATCCTACCTATTTAAGCCAGTGCTAAATGGATGAGAACAAGCAGATCAGTGCTCTGTTCTTTGATCCCCATCTCACCATGCCACCCACTCTTTATTGGCATAAAGCAGCCTCCCAGCCCTGTGTCACTTCCTTTGGTGAAAATGACAATTATAAAGGAAAAATGATGAGATTCTAACAATTCTATTCTAGGGATGTGTGATATATGCAAAAGACGATATAAACAATAAGAAGTTGGCCTACGGTAGAAATTGACCCTCTACCCTCCTGTCGTCAGTTACGTCATCACACCTGTGTCAACAGGGCTGCGAGTGCAGAGACAACAGAGCAGGAGGAGTTTGAAATATAGTGTAGAAATATAGCATTTTAAAACACGTATAGAGAGAATAAATCCTCAAAATTTCCCCCTCCCGCTGTAGAAAAGTTACGTCGTGCCGTCRTGTCGYGGGATCATTTCCTCCCTCCCTCCCTCCCTCCCGCTGCACGTTGCGCAGAGTGAAGCTTTAACAACCGTAGTGTTTTCACACCCAAGTTGTCTGAGAAAAAACTTGCTTTTTATGTATTGTTATCCCACAGAGATGATAAAAAAWGATGTGGATGTTCGTTCAGTCATAAATCCATCTTACTAATGTAACAGTTGCCTCTGCTCTGATGATGAAGATGAGAGCGCAGCAGAGCAGCAGCCGATAAGTTCAACAGGCAGAAGCTCATAGTATGGCAGGCCGGTATTACATTTATTTGGCTTCACCACACTTATATTCCAGTTATCTGAAACTGTTTTATGACAGGACTATGTGCAGCTTAAGTCCCTTAAGGCCCTGTCACACTATAACACTTTAGGCAACTTATGCCAACTTAGAATTTATTTTATGTCTAAATGACAAATTTTACTTGAAGTTCTGGTTAAAACATTCACTTTATTTTGATGTTGTTGAAAATTTGAGAAATGGTTTTGTTGTTGAAATGGTTTTACAATATAAAAAACATACTTTTGAACTTCTGTTATGTTCATTTGCACTACAGCGAAAATGTTGGGTTTGATTATGATTACAGTTTTCTGCAAAATAAATGCTCTAAAAATTACATTATCTTTGCTTTTTATGATAATTTTCTACCGTGATATATACCGTTACTGTGAAAGGATTCAGTTTATACTGTGATATGAATTTGAGGTCATACTGCCCAGCTCTAGTCTATTCATAACTCAGCTGACACTTTGTATCCAAATTCCTGGCTTTTGAACGAAGCTTAAAGATTTTTCATTTATTTTTTAGTTCTTTRTTGACCTACAGGACAGAACTGTGAAAAAAAAACATTTTGATGGAATATGAGAGCCTTTACATGTAAGCGATGATTGTTCTGACTGTAGCAAAGCGAAAGKTTTTTTTCACATCTTTTGCAACAATGGCTAACAACACAGAAAGTAACAAAGAATCAGATGTTTCTTAATATTATTTTGAGTCGCTATGACGAGAGACGTTCATATAGACCAGAGGTGCCCAAAGTGGGGCCTGYGGGCCAAAATTGGCCTGCCAAGCCATTTGATTTGGCCCGCCAGCAGTTGTCCAGGCTACTAGGTTGTATTCTCCTGTTTTATGTGGAAACACTATATTTCTATATAAAGGGCTGTAGTGCAGAAATTCTAAACTCACGGCACTTACTTTATCTTTATCTTTATATTAAAATTAAACATAAAAYACAAGTAACTAGACATTTAGATTAGATTTAAGCATTCATCTAGATTTGCACATTTAATAAGATCACAGATAGGCCTACTCAAATTTTAATTTATGAAAAGTCCTATGAGCTTTTGCTGCTCAACTGTATGTCAAACTTTCTGCACATCCATTGGCTAGCAAAAAAAAATACAAAAAAAAAATGTGGGCCACCACACTGGCTGTTAGCTTAAGCATAAAAAATAAAACTGTACCTAAAAAGTATTTACATTTTATTTATTATATTATTGCATTTGGCCCGCAGCCCTCAGATTTATTTTCATTTTGGCCCTCTCAGGGAAAGTGTTTGGGCACCCCTGGTATAGACAAAGACCAGGGAGTTTTTAAAAAGTTGCCCTTTGTCATCTCTTCCTGTTTCACTTTGGCCACACCCAGAATAAAACAAATATGCTAGTTATGTGACATAATATGTATAGCCATGTGTATTTTTGTACGTGTAAGAAACATAACAGGCATTTTAACGTCATGTAAGAACGTGGAGTGATCTGAAACTTGGCGTGTTGTTTATTCTCTGTAATGAGCTTATGTTCACAACTCTTTCTTTTCCCTACGGACCATGTTTTCTGCCTTTAAACTACATGCTGCTCATCAGTTCAGCCCACCCCCAGCTGGGCCGTATCTCCCCCTCTCCTCCTCCCCCTCGTCTCTTTGTGGCTGAGCTCAAAAGTTCCTGTGGAAGAGCTTAATAAAAGAGGGGCGAGGTGGGGGGGGAGACCGGGGGCTGGGGGAGCGTACGTGGAGGAGTGAGGGGTTGGAGTCATGGTGGTCGTCATGGATTCCTCGCCATGGCAACCGGCAAACGTTTACAAAGCACTGAGAGATTTCCTCATATCAGCTGGATTATTGGAGTCCTCAGAGACCAGTTCTCATTTGAAACCAATGCAGGATATCGTCAAGACCCTAGCAGGGGCTGAAGCCCCGCTGCCACTTTTATTTCCTCCCCACCATCTTGTAAAGTGTTGAACTTGTGAAGTTTTATTTTTTTTATTTTTTTTATTTATTGGGGGTGGGGGGGGGTTGCCATTCCATTCCTTCTCTTGTCAATGACTCGCGCCTGTTCTTTCTCTCTGTCTTTAAAAAAAAGCCTTTGTGTCAGTCCATTTTTAGCTCCCTTTGCTATGCTGTGCACATTGTCACCCAGTGGAAAGCAGAGTAGTAGTGGGTTTGGTCCTCAACAAGCAGTTCAATCCTGTTGGTAATTTGAGCTTCTCTAATAGAACTTTTCCACATGGGTTTGTTCTGCCTGCGAGGCTCCTTCTGTGCAGACAGAACCATTGATTACAGCCAAAGGTGGGCAACTGCTGGCTCCCGGAAAGCTTTCATGACTCAGCTTGACTTGGCAAATCTAGAAAGCCCCCGAAGCAAATGAACGCTCAAGTGGCTTTTAAAGCATTTTTTTTAGCCTTGTTAGCCGTGCGTTTTGAGTTGGTCTTTTTCTTTACTTTTTGTTTTTTACCTGTAAAACATTTCAATTTTTTTTATGTGATTCCTTTTTTTTCCTTCTTTTTTTGCCTTCCAGCATGCAGAACTCAGAGGGAGCGTCAGACACCACGACTGGTGTGGCAGCTCTGAGGTCATCGTCATCAGCCCAGGCTCCTGTGGTTCAGCCCGTCCCAGCATCACAGCAGGTACTGAAACCACTAAACCGTCAGCACAAAGGGTTTAGGATGATAAAAACAGCAGAGAGGTCTGCTTTTTTATCTTTTAAGAAATAAAAATTTGTCACAAAAGATTTTGTTCACACCGTCCCAACTGAACAAATTGTTCAGTTTTATAAATCACACCAGTAAAAATACATTTTAAATGTTCAGATTTATCATTAACTTGTGCTGCCACCTTCAGCTCTGCCACGAGATGCATTTTGTGTGTAATATGAAGAAGCATCATGATGACTGTGAGGTTAGGTTACACATCACGAGCTGAATCTCATTTTTGTCTCACATTTTTTGTGTGCTTCTGCTGATTTCTAATAAATGCAAAAATGCAGATAAAATAATGCCAGAATATTAAGGAGGCAGCCAAGACATTTTTGAAATATCTATTGAATAATAAACTTTAATTTGATAAAGTTTATTATTCAATAATAAACTTTAATTTGATAAAGTTGCTGCTCTGTGTGTCTGCCTGTGTTGCGTTGACTGCTATGTGTGTTTAGATTAGCGTGTTTTGTGTGTGACTGAACATTCATACCTCTGTAATTGAGTTATGTCTTGTATCCACACAGAGGGTGCTGGTTCAAGCCACAGGCTCAGCTCAGAAAGGAGGACAAGTACAACAGCTTTCAGTATCCAGGGTCCAACAGGTCCCTCAGCAGGTACACAGTACTCTGCATACCTGTACAGCTCTGAGCGCATCTGAACACCCCTCCACTTACCAGCTTCTTCAGATATTTTCAAAAATAACATTAATAGTTACTTTCATGCAACAATAAAATATGCATTGTTTTATTTTACAGTTAAGTTTGGAAAAAGACTGTTAATAAAGTAAAGAGAAGGTTGTCAAAACCCGCTTTTGGCTTTTAAAACTATTTAACTTTTGTTCAGATGAYGTTTTACACAAGTCAGTTTAGTTTACTGATGGTTAGGCTTTGTGTTAACATATGACAAATTACAGTAGTTGCTGCGAAAGATTAAAAGAATAAAAAGTATTTTTAACATAAACTGTTTTTATTAGTTCTTCATCTAGTTAAGGAGKCTAGGCATTGCACATAAGGCCTTTTTGCACTTCAAGTGTCGGCCTGGCTTCAAACCCGTGTTCAGTGTGTTTGCATTAGACCTTATGGCCCAGTTCCACCCTGATTTTCAGAACGCCAAGACCCATGGTTCTATCCAGCTTTTAGTTTAACCACACAACAACCGTAGCACGCTACCAAACAAAAACAAGCTAACAAAAGTTAATATTAGCTTACCGTTCTGTTGTCCTACTCTTTCATCTTAAGTCTCATAATGCTGCATCAATCTTTGGTCCTGTTCCTTCGAGTTTGATATAGCCCATTATTAGCCGTGTTTCCATCAACATTTTTAAAGTATTTTGAAGCATCGCATCAGAAAAGGTGAATGGAAACAGCACGATTCGAAAAAACTTCCTCTAGTTCGCATAAAAGTTGATAGCTCACTTGAGCTGGTTTTTGGGTTTTTCAAAAAAGAGTTAATGCGCAAAAGGAGAGATGGAAATACATTTGTCGAATAAGTTCTGACGTAGCGAACATTTACCTCACATGTTGATCAGCTGTTCCTGCTGTCTGTTCGAAACCGGTACCGGTACCAGAGCGACTGCAGCTGGTCCCTCCTCCCGCTGTCAGCGTCTTCTCAGTTGTTCCCGTAACGTGAAAAGAATTGCATTTCTTTCTSTACGTCTCCAGACAGCATGTAACATCACCAGAACTAGTTGATATGATAGAATAAGTACAGCTTTCCTGATAGTAGCAACACGTTCCTGATAACTTCTCTCCATTTTCCTGAGATGCGACTTTTACTTCCTGTATACTACACACATGCGTCTGACGTAACTGATTTGCTTCAAGCCAGTTGATGGAAACACGTCTGATCCGCATTTCTTCGTCCTTTCCTTTTTGAGAATTTTTAAAAATTCGCTCAAAATTCGAATTAGAATTGGATGGAAACACGGCTACAGTTGTGTTGCAAACAAAACAAAATAAAATTTGCACGTTTTTAATATAAAGATCCTGCCCACATTGAGGCGACACTCTGCTCAATGCAAGCACAACCAGGGCCGGGGTATAAATAAGGTTGGGTCGACAGGAGCAGTCAGGCCTTACAATGCAAAAACACATTTAAAATTCAAAGTTAACAGATTTTGTTGGATGATATTTAGTCATAATTTCTGTAAATCTTGGTCAGTTAAATTGGTTCTGCTCTTTACACCTCTTTTCTAGTAACGAGGTGATTCTTTAGTTGTAAAAAGATAAAAAACTTGCCGTAGGTCTCTGCTAAACTAAATGTGATTCTAGCTTTCACTTTGTCAGAAACCTTTTGTTTTTAGGAGCATTTGGAAAACAAAACATGTAGCTGGACCAAAAATATGGAAATCTCAGATTGCGACACTCAGAGAAAATGAGCCAGCACTTCCTTCAAAGCAGCAAAATGTTTGCTGCACCTTTAGTGTTGAAAGTGTTTAAATATGTAATAAGATTTCTTTTAATATTTGAATTGTAGAGGAAATCTTGTGTTCGACTCTGGTTCTCAGTGTTTCGTCTTGAGTGGTGTTCCTGAAGGCTTGAACCAAATCCCAACAGTTGATTTTATTTCATGTTCCATTTGATTTCTTTTGTGTTTCATGAATCATCATTTGTATAACTACATCATCTAAACCTTGGTTTTAGTGAATCGTGTGTCTGTTTCAGATTCATTTAGAATCAGTTCAATTACAAACTTATAAAGTAAAATGTCATTTTATTTTCTAGTTTWGTTCTGGATCATCCTTACATTTATACGCTTTCTGTCCTCTCAAAAACACCTTTTCTGACTCGCAGCATTTTTACCTTTATTGCATGTTAACACCTCCATGTTTGCATGGTTTTCCTTATTCTCAGGTGTATTAACATTGCAGACTCTTTTATTTGAACTGTTGACTTTTTGTATGTGCAGCAGGTGCAACATGTCTACCCATCCCAAGTCCAGTATGTAGGAGAAAGTGGAGATGCTGTTTATACCAATGGAACTATGTAAGCACTGTTAATAAATAAATGTTTCACATATAAAAAAATAGTTGTAAACCGAGGTAATAAGGTGTTTCATTTCTGTTAAATGTTCAGAAATGAGAAAAATCGAATTCGTAAAATGAAAAACTTGCCTTTTAAATCAAAACTCCTGATATTTAGCTCCACTTGAACTGCAGCTTCTGTAGGTTGTGTATGTAAAACACAGATGAGACTTTCCAGATCTCTTTTCTGATCCTTTTAAATGTGTCACAGCCGACTGTTTTTAAAGCAGCTGTAATCACTGCGCCATTAAAGCTAATTAAAGCCACAAGACTCCCCTCGACCATCACAGTTTAAACAATTATAACTCTCCCATGAATAAATATTTGGATGACGTCAGTTCCATTGTTGTCCAAGTAAACACAATTATGTGTTACATCATTTGTGCTCTACTTTAGTTGCTTTACCTAAAGTTGTTCTATGTTTGGTAAATGTACTTGCATGCTAATTACAGCGATCTCTCCCCAGTCGAACAGCCTACTCCTATAACCCCGAGAGTCAGCTGTATGGGCAGAGCAGTGGGGGGACCTACTTTGACTCTCAGGCCGGTGGAACGCACGTCACCACGGTGGTCTCCTCGGCCAGTAGTGGCGTGCCCCCGCACGGCATGGTTGGCATTGCCATGGACGTGGGCGGCAGCCACATCATTTCCAGTGGCAGCACCTACCTGCTTCATGGCGGAAACATGGAGGGAAGCCGCAACCACATATCTCACTCATCGCGCTCCTCCTCAGCTATGGTGAGCAGTTCACGTCCTGCTGCGACTGTGGTGGGATCACAGCAAGCATAGAGAGCAAACTAAACAAAACTATAAACCAGAGTTTACTTCTACACCCAAATCTAAATGACAGCTGTTTAGGGGATATTTCTCTGGGCTGCGACTGTTGGTGAACAGCTTTTGTGACTATTGATACCAGCCTCGAGTCATGCAGTTTCAATCTTGTAACTGCATGTCTTCAGCAACAGAACACAAGTTCAGTTGTCCAGTTTTTTGTTTTTTGTTTTCCATGTCCTGGATGACTGAGAATCCACAAAAATATACGAAAGTAAGGTCTGTCTTGGACTGTATCATAATAAAGTTACTGGATCGMTATTTTAGTTATGTTGCACAGGAGCAGCCGGCCAGAGGCAGGTTCAAACGTAAACACTGAACTAAACATGTCAGAAAACTAATGTGCTCTGATCGCACAGTAATATCAACATGCTAACATTTAGCATTCATAAGCTACTTCAATCAAAGAGCCTTTGTGTCAGTCCATGCTCAGCTCGCCAGCATTAAGAGCTGCAGTGTGAACACAGAGTTGTTGCTGATGTCTCCAACTCATCTCAAGAGATGTAATTTGACACCTGCATGCAAACTCTCCTCCTCTGACAGAAACCACTGCTGCTGCTGCTGATAAATAATAATCATTTCAAAACTGGTCCAAGTCTCCCTATCTTCATTTTAAACGTGCACTCTAGTAGAATATAATATAAATGTTTATGCCTGCTGAGGTGGGGCGTTATTATGCAGCTGGACAACAAAATAATGTGCACAGTCTAGAATAAGCTGTGAATTATAATTTTATTAAATAGTTGCTCAGTTCACGACTTGCTGCTCATTTGATTGCAAAGACTCAGAACTCAGTGAGGCTGCAACTAAAGAAATCATCTTTTTTTTTACAATGTTCTTCGAACTTTGAGTCACCCGGCCTCCAACTATCGCAGTCCAGTGAAATGTCACCTTTATAATGCTGAACATACTAATAATTTGCTTTCCTTTTCTAAACCATTGTAAAAAGTCCAAATGATGGATTCTTATATTGAAGTAATTACCAGTACCTGTATCCTGACTGACAACTCAGTTTCCCAGGGACCTGTAAGTYGGGGGCCCTGTACCTTTTGTAAGAACACCTACAGAGAACACGGTACAAGGCCGTGAGCCCGCAGAACCAGGACTTTCTTAAATAATTCAACCCCGTTTTGTTTGGGAGGTTTTCACAGGCACTTGAGCACCCTATGAAACAAAAAAAAAAAAAAAAAAAAACCTTGGGGCTCATTACCATTTGGCCAAGAGCCCTCTGGAGCCTTCTTAAGGCTTGGAACACTGCCTGCTTCTTTTTCCTTTGCTTCTGTCTCACATTTGGCAACAGAACTACGTCTTTTTTTTTAGCTTGATTTTCTTCCACTACTCCACAGAATATCCCTGCTTTTGTCATTCACTTCAATTGCCAATCAGACTTCATTAGTTAATTTATTTTTGGTCATCCAATGATAGACTTAAACAAGTGTATTTTCAACTGGCTCATGCCGTAGTGGCAACAAGTCTCTTAGTTTTTTTTGACAAACTCTGGGATGATTGGCATTGTTAACCCTCTGTCCCGAATCTGGAGGTGACCTGTGCCCCTGTCTGTTGTTTCTATTTGCATACTTTAAAGTGTCTGACCTGAAGCCTTCAGTGAACAGCTTAACCCTATGAGTCCCTTGATTTGCATGCTTTTGTCAGCCAATAATGGATTTGGCTGCAACACTGACTGATTTTAATGGAAATGCAGAGATGTGGCTGCTCGCTAACAGTCTTATTCCCTTTATCTTTATTTTTTTCTGTTCTTTTTCTTTGTCCTTATATCCCTGCTTATTTCTCTGCCCTTCCCTTTTTATGTCTCCTGCCTCCTCCCCTTCTATATCCTCTGTCTTTTCCTGTTTCGCATGTTTTTTTCTTTCCTTTAGCTTGAAATGGCGATTGAAAACCTCCAAAAGTCTGAAGGAATTGCAAGTCACAAAAGCAGCCTGCTCAACAGCCATGTAAGTCAAGAAGGAACTTTCTTTGGAGAGGAAGTGAGAGAAAAAAAAAGGGAAAGCTGTGGCTGAACCTTTGGGCTCCGTGTTCTGCTTGTGTGAACACACTGCTGCTGGCTTAACTACTTTGCACCGTCCTGTTGACTTGCATAATTATTTTCATTTTGTTTTCATGCTTGATCTGCGCTCGTGTTTGCTTTTACCGTTTCCTACAGATCTATATATTTACTTTGATACTCTGCATGAATTAATGGTTTTCTCTTTTTGTAGGGAGACATCCACTCACTGGCACCAGACTTTATCTCCGTTTATCTTTTGTACGTCTTAAGAGACGTTCAGTCTGTTGTAAATAAATAAAACTATTTAAGAAGTAATTCAATGCAGATTTTTACAAATACTTCAACTTTTAACCTCAACTGTGGTTTCAAATTTTAAATCTGGTTCAAGATTATTTTTGAAAGTAGCTCATTTTTGCTTGATTTGCTAATGGGAGATGCTAATAATTCATTGTGCTTATGCACATGATCTTCCACAACATTTACAAGAAACAATGAGTTTTGCAGATGAACGTTTGGTTTAGCCAGCAGTTTGTAATCCTGTGGTCCCCGACTGCCTCATGTCATGAAGCAAAGACCTGAACTGAACCACAGAATGAATGCAGTGGTTCACCTGGTGTTCAGAGATAGTTTGTTTGGTGTGTGTGATCTGAGGTGTGTGATATCTGTCTTTTGATATGTTAAAATATTCTTTGCTGCATTGCACAAAGTGAGACGAGTCGGTCTCCTGGGGTTAACTGTGTTTTTTTTCCTTTATATTTTTAGCTGCAGTGGCTGCTGGACAACTACGAGACGGCAGAGGGAGTGAGCCTGCCCCGCTGCTCTCTGTATAACCATTACTTGAGGCACTGTCAAGAACAGAAACTGGATCCGGTCAACGCGGCCTCCTTTGGGAAACTCATCCGCTCCGTCTTCATGGGCCTGAGGACCCGCCGCCTCGGCACCAGGTAGTCGGCGGTTACTGCGGCCCCTAATGACAGCAATTCTCTGTCTGTCTTGATGTGACAAGTGTGATGATGCCTTCGCACGTTGAAGAGCTGCTGATAGAAACGGGTAATAACAGTGATTACACTAATGGTGAGGCTTCTTCTCACTGTGTCCATCAGAGGCAACTCTAAGTATCATTACTATGGCATCCGGGTGAAGCCAGATTCGCCCCTCAACCGGCTGCAGGAGGACACCCAGTACATGGCCATGAGGCAGCAGCCTGTCCACCAGAAACAGAGGTCAGCCTGGAAAACCCTGTTGGTCTTTTTGTGCCCTGTTATGTTTATCTGCTTTCTGTTCATTGCTTACAACTACCGTATTTATTCAAGTATAATACGTAACATTTAATCCATAAAATCATGCACAAAGTTGGGGGGTAGTACTATACTCAGATAAATGTTTTTGCTTATGTATTTTAACTGAAATATCGGCCTCATTCACAAAATGCCYGAGTCCAGAAATGAAACCACGTCGTAAAAAGCGGTTGAAGCGAGCTTACCTCTAACACTCCTTTGAGCTTCTGAGCGAGATAGTAACAGATCCAAGCAGGCAACGTGATGTGAGAAAAAAAAGGCAGTCCTGCATAACAAACTAATGATAGTGTATGACCGGGCCGGTCCTGGACCAACAACGAACACATGGTCGGCTGTAATGGCTGCCATCTACCGGTGTTCTGTAAAAGTTGGTCTACCTGAAAAAAGTTTCCCCACCAGAGGGGGCGCTCGCGAGACACAGAGSATGAGWTTGYTGTTGAGTGRGATTCTGATGCCTTTACTACAGAGGAGGAATACCAGAAACTTTTAATGATACTGATGATGGTGAGCCTGATTTTGAAGGCTTTTGATTCAGCTTCATCCACACTTGTTAGAACCACATAGCTCTGTTTTTTAGATCACACCAGTTAACAAATGAGCATTGATAGCTTTTGTTGTAGTTATATATTTGTTGTTGTGTACCTTTTAGTACATATGTTGTTAAAATAAAATTAAAAACTGATACAACAGTCAAATGATAATTTTACTGATATATATATATATATATTATATATATAAACACTAAAACGGCTGAAAAATCCTGAAGTCCATATGAAATTAGAGGTAGTATGAGAATTAAAATTTTTATGCTTTTTAGGCTAAAAATAGGGGGAGTCGTATTCTACATGAGATCGTATTATACAYGAATAAATACGGTAGTTTTCAAAGCAGACTGAAAACTGGTTCAAAATAAACACTTGAGCTGCAGAAGCTTCCATCGAAGCCTAAATGAWCATATTTGTTGTTTGTTGTTGATCTGAGCCAGCTAACACATGCACCCCTTTGTCTGCCCAGGTTCAAGCCTCTGCAGAAGGTGGATAGCATGTCTGACAGCCTGTGTGGGAGCTCTCAGCACTGCAGCGGCACCCCAGAGCAGTCCGTGGCTGCTCAGAGCCAGCATCACCAGCAGTATATAGGTGAAAATAGAATCCTTCATATTTTACCCAAATCACTGTAGAAAGTCATGTTTGTTACTGACACAAGTTGGCTCGACTTCATCATGTTTCAAACAGACAGAGAGAAACAAAAACAGCTTTTTATAGACTCTCCTGTGTGTTTTTGTGAGACGGGTGTACATTTCTTCACGCAGATACGACTCACTCCCTGCCTCCTTTTCCCTCCCCTGACCTGGGCACCCAGCCTCTGCCTGAGCGCATCAACATGAGCGACATCAAGAAGCTACAGACCCTCTACAGAGGCCACTGCGAGGTGGGGTCATCTCTCTTTAAAAAGCATTTAACACAGTTGATCTGTACATGTTGAGCAGAGGCTCCTCACGCTGCTCATTATCCCTTTCCTTCATGCCGTTTGTCACATTATCAGAAGTTAAAGAGTCAGTAAATGTGACCCATCATATTTGGTCACAATGACTTGATCTCATTTTTAGATTCCTGGCTTTAAAAGCTACATTTTGATACCTGGATCATTCTGATATAACTTAATTTGTCTTGTTGGTTACGATGATACATTAATATTCGGTCTGATTCCCATTTTTATGCAATTTTAAATAATTTTTGATGTCATTGTAAAACAGAAACCAAATATTTGAATTTTAAATCATTTTTGTTACCGGCTGTCACCCATCCGCACCCCCCATCACTTGCACGCAGCACTCCCAGAAAGTGAACCGTGGTTCTCTGGGAGCGGTAAAAGATGTCTTAAATAAATAATATTAACAACAACAACAACCAGGAGAAAGCGTACAGCAACTTGTAAATCTGGCAGTGCTTTACTTTCAGAGACAGTGGGTACAACTTTAAAATGTTACAATCCCTAACCTTAACATTCCGCCTCTATAGCAAAATTCTTTCCTCTGCCCTCACACAAAGATTTTGTCAATATTAGCTCTACATATTGTTAGCTAAAGGGTGGGGGGGGGGGGGGGGGTATTTAGCCAGCACCAATTGTTCAAGTTCTCTCACTTAAAAAGATGAGAGAGGCCTGTAATTGACATCATTAGACCTCCTCAACTATGAGAGACAAAATACTATTTTCCCCATTGTTCATGTGTACAGAATACTCCATCATTTAGGGGACTTTTTTTAATCTGGTCTTGGTCTTTTCTCAGTCTCGCCATCCCTTGGTTTTGGTCTCGACTTGGTCCAAACCCTAAAAGTCTTGGTCTTGTCTCGGTCTCGCCATCCCTTGGTTTTGGTCTCGACTCGGTCCAAACCCTAAAAGTCTTGGTCTTGTCTCGGTCTCGAGACACTGTGGTCTTGGTCTTGACTTGGTCTCGGGTTAGGTGGTCTTGACTACAACACTAATTGTTTGTCTCAGTGTGTCCCTGTGATGGACTTGTGACCTGTCCAGGGTGWACCCCGCCCCTCACACTGTGACTGCTGGATATGGGTACCAGTGACCCTGAAAGGAAGAAGCAGGTGTAGATGATGGRTGGATWATATTTCAGACAGTTCATTTAAATGATACATTGATGAGGAATTTATTCCTTAYATGTTGAAAAAAAATGTAAAATTTGCAAACATTTTAATCAAAACATTATTTTTCTTTCTCCACAAACCACTTAGACTTAAWCCTTGTTTCGATATGATGGGTCACATATGCTTGAACATGTTAGCTAATGCTAATGTTAATGTAAAGAAGTAGAGATCTACATTTACTTATATTAAATTTATATATATGTTGGAAGTGTTAAAAACACCTTTTAATGTGTGGATCCAGCCTGCAGATCAGTTCTGCCTCTGTTTACAGTGAGTAATAGAGTGGCAGCTGGAAATTCCTTTATAATGTCATAATGATGGCCTTATTTTGAAGGATCATTGGGAAACCAAAGAACAGCAGTCAACAGGTGTCTTATTTCTAAACACAATCTGTCGTAAGAAATTCTGGAGAAACGTTCATTTCACAACAGAACTTCACYGTCTGCAGACCATAATTCAGCTTTTTTTTTTAATCATTGAGTTTGAGCCACAGTGTAAACTCCGAACAAAAAAAAAAAAGGCAGAACTTTAGAATCACAGAGTTTACAGGCAGGACAGAAGCTGCGATTAAAGCTGCAAAGCTCTGGGTTTATCATATTATCCCTGCCCTCCCCGTGTCCGGCTCCTCCACACTCCTTTTGTTCCAGCCGTCTTTTCATCTCCGCGCAGCTTTTCAAGACGTGCCAATTAACCTTTCAGCACGCTGGGWGGACATCTCCACGTCTTTGTGGCGGGCTCCCCTCAGGCCTTTGTGTCGTCTCGTCTGCAGAGGGGCACATGAGCTCCCGTCTCTGTCTGCAGACACATTTCTGTCACTRGCAGCTCCTCACTGCCTCCGAGTGTTTAAGGTTTATGCTTTTTATTTTTTTATTGTCGGCGCTGACCTGTGAGGATGTCAGCCGAGAGGTTTCAGGAACTGTTTAGAGTTACGACACGACGACAAAACAGAAGTTTGTCTAAAAGTTTTACAGGGTAATCTGCCGGCTGTTGGGAAGAGGAGCGTTTATTTGCTGATGTCATGGTAACAGCTGGGCTCCAACAGGCATTCAGCCGTCGTTAGAGTCATTTTATTTTATTTTTTTAAATGATTAGGCGTTTAATGAAACGTCAGGGGTAATAAATCACCCGAGTTGTCGTGTTAACGCAGAAACACGAGGAGTTGAGATTGGGGAAGCTGTGCCTCTGCACGTTGTTTTTCCTGTGTGGCTCAAAAAACCGTGGCGGCGAAAATACGTTTGTTTKAGAGGGAAGGGGGGAATTCTTCCCTTTTTTTAAATGTTTTGGAGTTCTATGTTTGACCTGTTGCTGGGGGCAACTGTAAACACGGTTGCCGTGGCGACGGCAGGAGAGGAAGCAAAAAACATATCATGTGATTGAAGCTCGCACCGCGGTGTAACAAGATCCAGCAGCCAGCGCTCGTCCTGCCAGATAGAGAAACAACAGATGCTGAATTTAGAGATTTACTGAAGGAAAGAAAAATACGTTTAAAAAGCTAATTATTAAACCTCTTTTTTAAATACCACGCTGAACTCAGCATTTACAAACTCTACTCAAATAATCTTGGGATCAAAATAAAGCTAACACTTGGCTTKAGAGATATTGAGGATGGAACATAATTAAAAACATTTTTTCACTCTCGTCTAATATTTTCATTAGACAGYGTGTCTATAACCCATTTAAAACCATAATGAATCAGGATAAAAACTCTTGGAAACCATAAACCCGTTTGTGAACTTTACCTGAGCAAAGATTCATGCTGCTAAAATGAACTGCAGCAAAGTTACAGAGGTTTTAGTAAAGAAATAATTTTGCATTTTGTCATTCTGCACAGGACAGACCATGATGGTACCATTAATAAATGTTCAGAAATCTGAGGTTTTTACATCCAAAAGTTATTTATTTTTTCTTACCTGCCTTTAAAGACTTKTTATTGAATGTTTGTTCTTTTGAAAAATGATCCAAACATTTATTTGTCACCATATAAATTATATAAAATAATGAGAAATTATATTTGACTTCAGTTAGATCATATTCACTCAAAACCAAGTGAAAAAAAAAACTTTCAATCCATTTTATAACATATTTAGGCATCTACTTTGACTTGGTTTAAAAATAAATGTCGAATGTATTTCTTTACAGATTTGCTATGAGGCCATTTTGTAGTTTGTTTACTTTCTGATTCAACTGCTTGTGGTTTGAACTGTTTGGTGAATGTMAAAATAATTTCCATGAGCTTTTAGCCAAGATTCGTGGCTTTCTATTGATGCCAAACATGTCCASGTTCAACTGACAGATCTGAAGTTAAAAGAAATGTAAAAGGGAAAAACTTAAATATGTACTTGGTCTAAGGAACAAGTCGTTTAAAACTCGTTGTTTTTAAATAAATGCTTTGATGTCAGCTTTCAAACACTAAGAAAGAAGTTGTTGCTTCTGCTTTCAAACAGGAACAAATCCTCACTGTTGGTTTCAAACATTTAAAGGTTTTACAGTGAAATTAAGCACAAATTGTCTGAAGCCCTGCTGTGTCCTGTCGGATTCTCCTGATGATGAATGCACAGGGAGGTGTGTTTAATCTGGCTCATTGTCTTCCCAAGAGGACCCGGGCTGCCCGCTCGCCTGCCTGCCTGAAGAAACTTTGTTGTGTGTCTGGTTGCCATGGTTCATCTCTGTATGTTTTGACCTCCTCTCTTTTCTCCTCCCTCCCTCCCACACTCCCTCCCTCCCAGGCCACTCTGGACGTGGTGATGAATCTCCATTTCCACTACATCGAGAATCTCTGGCAGACTTTTTGGAATTCAACACCCCCACCTAGTGACGGCAGCACGACCATCCCCAGCAGGTCAGATCACACAGCCTTCACCATCAACCTGCGGTGGWCGTTTTCTGCTTTTGTTACTCGTTTGAGTTTAGATCAGAGAGTTCAAAYTGATGTTTTTGTTTCTCGGTGTGCAGCGATGACGACCTGGAGCGTGTGATTCCCAGAGAGAAGCTGATCTCTCTGTGTAAATATGAACCGGTCAGAGTGTGGATGAGGAGCTGCGATCACATCCTCTACCAGGCTCTGGTGGAGATCCTCATCCCTGACGTGCTGCGTCCTGTTCCCAGTCAGTATCACTGTTTCTGTTAAACACACTTTTATTTATGGGCCTTTATTTATCCAGACAAACCCCACTGAAATCACACAGCTCTTTTGTAAGGAAGACCTGAGCCTACGTACTGTAAATTAAAACAGATCCATGATTAGTTGTAACATTAGACTTTATTTGATAAACATATATTTTAACTGTAAAATAAAGAC